TTTTTTTTGTGGCCCGGCCGGGCAAGTGGTGACAAGGCTGGCTTAAAACTTAAAAGGTGCGGGACGTTTGTTATAATGACCCTGAAAAAAACAGTGACTGAAAATTTAGGGCTCTCTGTTAACCGCTTTTCTTTATCGTTGTAAGGCAATGCAAGGGGAATTTACTGGTTTCAAAAAAAGAGAAAAAAAGAAAATTGTATGCAGCAGTGCTCTTACGCAAGAGAGGAGGTATAATTTTGCTGATTTAGGGATGTCCTTCCGTCTTCACCCCAAATGCAATGCACCCTCATCGTGAATGTACCTCGCCGGAAAGATAGCTCGTATGCATTTATGATCACGTCAGCAGGTTCGTCGTAAACCTAAATAAAGGCTCTGTTGTAACGAGATGTCGTTTCGCCTCCTGTCCCCAATTAATTGGGTACTCTGCCTATTGGGTACTCTGTCTGTCTTTTCTTTTTTTTTTTTTTCTTTTTTTTTGTTTGGAAAAACTGCCCGTTTGGAAGCTAGGGGCGCGGGTACTCTGCCTATTTCAATTCAAACCTAGGTGACTATATCCACCACCCGGTAGGTAAGAGGCACCTCAACGTACGATCGCGCGCTATCTATTGTCTGGGGGGTTAGCGATTCCGAAAGATGCTTCGATTCACCATAACCAGGTTCGGGGGAAGGTGAGGCTTCCTTCACTCGCGTACAAAGAAAACTTTGAAAAGGAGGGTGCTGTCCTTACGGGCCCGGCTCCATACCCATAAATTATGGGGAGCCATAGCCTGGTTCCTATTCCTTTTTTTTTTTCTTTTTTTTTTTTCCCTATTCCACCGCCAAGTCAGAAGGACACATGGTGTACCACCTCAAAGCGCTTCCCCATGTTACGGCCCGGAAAATTCTGACAGCATTGATTGCTTCCACTTGCGAGTCGTATGTTTATTAGGCATTTACAGTTTTCCACACTCACGCTTCCTTCTGTTTGGCCGAAGGACGCCTGAAGTTGCAGGATTGCAGCATTGATTGCTCTTGCATTGGAGGATTGGCTGTCAGCTTGCCACTCCTCCTTTCTCACTCCTCGCAGACGCTTCCCCCAATGTCTGTCGGATTTCTTCCAATGGTGAAATCATTTCCACGAAAAGCAAATCAACAGGAAACATGTGACATTGTCTCTAATTAACTCTCTCTCTCTCTCTCTCTCTCTCTCTCTCTCTCGCGCGCGCGCGCGCGCGCGCGCGCGCGCGCTCTTTCTTTTTTTGTGATTTAATGCTATTTGTCAATGACAGACTGCCCCGCTGGACCTGGATACCGATGCTTTTTATCCTGCAAGGCGAGATCTTATCGAGGTTCATTTATTGGCCATCCAGGAGGGAAATGCTCAGGACATGATAGCGCATTGCTGGGCCGAACGTGAAGGAACCCTTTGCCGTGGTGTGAACTGGGAGCGACACTCGTTGTCAGAGTTGCAGGTAATCGCAGCTTGCATTGGTGGCGATGGGCTTGCAGCCGTCTGCCGCCTTCTGGCAGAGGACCATGTAGCGTGGTCGGGAGGAATGCCCGACCTCTTGCTGTGGCGGGAGCGGAAACTTGCACCGGAAAAGGGGGAAGGTACTCTCCCGGGGAATGCCAACGGAGGCAATGCGCACGGCAGCCATGCCCCAGACTATGATGCCAAATTTGGAAAGGGAAATGGCGAGGAGGGTGTGTCTCCCACGCAGAGGAATAGGGAGAGGGATATCACCCTGAGGGAGGCAAAGCTTGTGGAGGTGAAGGGGCCGCGGGATCGACTATCGGAACAGCAGATGGCATGGATCGATGCATTGGTATCGGCGGGATTGGATGTGGAAGTCTGTAAAGTTGTAGAATCCATAGAGGATGCGGACGTGTCGAATTAAAAATTGAGGTATTGGAATTTAATATTTATTGAATTAAATAATTATGAAATTTTGTATGCGAAATTGTTTTTGAATTTATTTTCAGTGTATTTGAATTAATTTATTTGAATTTATTTGAATTTATTTGAATTTATTTGAATTTATTCTAGGCTACCAGCCGGGCCGCCCGGGTCCCTGGTGGCCAGCCCGTGCAAGGACCAGGGAAGGTACCA